TCAAAATGGGAGGAACCATCTGGGAGAGCAACGACAGTGCAGGAAACAATTTCGGCGGGTGGCAGACCACCCGTCGCCATCGTTGTCATTGAAGCACGAAGGAACGAGGGTTTGTTTGGTTCTGTTTCGAGTCACATGTATCGTGTGCTTGTCCGGCCCGGTGAACTATCTCTCCGCTTTACTGCTATGGCGCTTTCTGGGGCGGCGTCTGAAGAGCTTCTGAATGCTTTTCGACAACATTATCATCGCTATGAAAGCAGGGTTCATGAGGCTATAGCTAACTCTGCGGATGCCATGGTTCTCTGGAGACTCGGCGACGACTTGGAGCAATATCTTGGACTGGTAGACGAGGTAGCGTGAACGTATGAGGCAGTCTAGCATTGGCTCTGAGAATTGTCTGTAGTATCGCGGTATTTTTCCTGAAGAAGAACTCACTCTCATCTTGCAAAACGGAGCAACAATGCAAAATGATATAAGACTACAATACCAAGATGCTGTTGATCGGTCCCACCATGGCCACCCTGTCGTAGTCCGTACTGTTCATACGGGCTCTCGAGGCAGACCCTCCATCGAGATTGACCCCGATTTTCTTCGTTGGGCTTATTCGCTGCGATCTACATCTAGCATCGCTCGCTTTCTGGGAGTCAGCCGCCGCACAGTTAGATATGCTCTGCTCGAGCATGGCATAGCTGCCCCTCGTCAGCAGCCTGCCCCACTCGCAGCTGCCCACCGGGTAAACGACACTGAAGAGAACGACGAGGAGCAGGAAGTTGGTGCCCCCAATCTAACATCATATACCGGTCCTCTCTCTACCATATCAGAAGACGATCTCGACGCTCTACTCATCAGTCTGCGGCGGCACTATCGGAGGGCGGGTGTAACTATGTTAGATGGTATGCTGCGGCGACTCGGTCACCACGTCCCGAGAGAGAGGATCAGACAGTCTCTCATCCGAATCGATCCTGTTCACCGTGTATTCGAAAGAATCACTATACGTAGACGCACCTACCATGTTCCTGGCCCCAATTCACTTTGGCACCATGATGGCCAGCACGGTGAGATATCCGTGACTTCATCTCTCAGTTTTCTCATCTTTTATACTAGGACTGATCCGCTGGCGAATTGTCATTCATGGCTTCATAGACGGATATTCTCGGCTCATTACAGGTCTCCGCGCAAGCGATAACAACCGCGCTCAGACTGTTTTAGATTTATTTTTGGCAGCAGCAGCTATTTATCTAGCTCCATCCCGCATGCGTGGAGACCACGGGGTGGAGAATCTTCTAGTTGCAGCGTACATGGTCGCTCTACATGGAGAGGGCAGAGGATCATATCTTTGGGGCAGGTTCGAGCTTTCATTGCTCGTCGAGGGTAGAACTGACACAGATTTTACAGAAGCGTACATAATGTTCGGATTGAACGGTTATGGGTGGATGTTACGGCTCAAATTGGCGCCACCTGGGCCGATGTCTTCATTCTCTTGGAGCTCCATCACGGCCTCGATATCAACAATTCTTTTCACATCTGGCTTTTACATTATTTGTTTTTGGATCAAATCAACAGACAGCTCGAATTCTTTCAAGAATCGTGGAACCACCACCAGATCCGCATGCGTGACGGGCCAAACCGGAGCCCAATAGACATGTTTGGATTCGACTCGTTGGTGCATGGTGTGCGAGGAACGAGCGTGGCTGAAGAGCCCATGACAAACGAGGAGTTGGAGGTGTACGGGGTGGACTGGGAAGGTTTGCACGATGAGAGTCTCCTTGAGTCGCGCCAGGAGAACAACACAGTCGATGAAGGCACAACTTCTTGGATCGGTCGTATTGGCCCGCCTCCCGAAGACCAACTCAATGAGGTGTTGGTTGATCCGCCGATTGGCCCGCTGTCGCCGTTGGAGATGGAAGAAATGGATGCCCAGCTGGGTCCTCTTTTTGGTGCTGTGGAAGATGCGGAGGTGGCAAATTTGTGGACGCAGGCTTTGGTATTAGCTAGACAAATGCATCCAGAATTGTTTTGACTCAATGACCAGTGTATTCTATTGCTAATCTATCCCTTTCTACCCCTCTATGCTTTTGTTGGGCTGTCTGGCATCTATTCGAGCAGTCGGATGATTTTCTTAGCATTGTCCCGGTTCGTTATTTCGATTATTTTGATTGGGAAGACACGGCATCAGACACAGTTCTGGGCATCAGACACACTTCTCACGGCCAGATCAAGGGACTCCTTGTATCCTCCCAATTTTCAGTTGGTAGTTCATACCTTACTAGCTGTGCTATGTTATTGCGACTTGAAAGTTGCGAGTTCGGAGTTCGATGTTCAGATTACCATTTTCGGACATTGACATGGTAACAATCTCCGCATTGTTCGGTGCTCGACTTCCGAGTTGACAAAAACTTGGGAGTACCGACTTGAAAGTATCCTGAAAGTACTCACTTCCCACTTGTGAGTACATCCAAACTATGCTCTTCGCACTTCCACCTCAAATAAATACCGAAAAATGATCTCATACGTATGAACTAGATTCGCAGTCAACGTTCAACAGCAATGTCCCATGGTTGAACTACAATCGGAAACTCCGAATTTCTGCCATGAATTTTTCAAATACCTCTTTTGGAGCATTCCGCTCCCCGTATAGCCGCACTCAGGTAAGTAGTAAGGTTACAGTTCTTTCAAGTTGCCCAGCTCCGCATCGGAAATTAACCCGGTCTATAGCTCTCTATGGACAGTCGACTTCCCGATATACCGCTGCCAAGTGCGTATTGTAGCGGAACGGCCGAAGGCGAGTAACTCCCGCCGCCTTGCCCTTTCTCAGCGCCATTCTCTGAGCTGGCAGGCTGCTCATGATCTACCCGCCTCTACCAACTGGCTCAGCAGAGCAATATGGATGTATATCGTCGGGCCCCTGCGCGAGCACGGTCGACACTATCCGATCTAAGTACTTCCCTGCCTGGTCCACAGAATCTCCAATTCTCCCTTGGAAATATCGACTTGCACTGAAATGCTCTATCGCCTATTTCGTTGCTTCCCTCTTCACGTTTTCGCCCTATCTTTCGAGTCTCATATCAAACTTTCCGGCGTACAATAATACGTCGTCTAGTCCGTCTCCCGTGGGGTATCTTGTCGCAACTGTGTACGTCGGTCGTCCATGTTTGTCCTTTATAGCCAAAAAAAGCTAAGTGGTTCTCAGCTCCGTGCATTTCAATCCTGCTAAAACAATCGGTGCTATGGTGGAGGCAGATCTTTATTGTCTTGTTGGTCTGATATACTCAGCGTTCGTTTGCCTTTCCTCCGTATCTCTCTTTTGGTCGCTGGAGGGCAAGTCGGGGTTCGACTGGCTTGCTTCCATTTTGGTGATTGTGTGAACGTTCGAGAACATGCGGTGTCAGTTGTTGAGGTGGCTATTTTGCGTGCGATTGCGGTCACGGCGGGGGTGCTTTGGGCGGCGCTGGTTGCGACGTTTTGGTGGCCGGCGGAGGCGAGGAGGGAGTTTGGGAGGATGTTGGGCGAGTTGAGTCTTTCTTTCCTTGTTTTTTTCTCTCGAGTCTCTTTCGATTCCGCTACTTATTATTTCGAGCGGTTCTTTCTAACGTTGTGGACGCAGATTTTGTCTTGAGATCGGGTGGTTGTATACCCGTCTGGAGGCTGCGAATCCGTATTCCGGGGACCATGAAGATTCGAATTCGAACGTAGGGGATCCGGAGAGGAGGCCGCTGTTGCCGAGATATTCAACGTTGGATGAGTACGTGAAGGAGTTTATGGCCATGTGCGTCTCGTTTCTTGCCTTTTCTCTTCTCTTCTCTGCATTCACAATTCTGACTGATGAATCAAATCAAATTGATATATATAGGGAACTCCACCTCCAACTCCAACTACTGCAACTCAAGAAACTTCTCGACCAGACGCAACACGAGCCGAGGTTGAAGGGGCCGTTCCATGTGGAGTTGTATCGCGGGATTTTGGAGAGTTTGGGTTTGATTTTAGGGAGGTTGAGAGGGGTGAGGTGTGTTACTATGAGGGAGGAGTGGTGCGTTTTCTTCTCTCGTCTTTTATTCATAATTTATTGATCTATTGATTTTTTCTTGTGCGAATTGAATTAGGTTCACGGTGTGTTATCTACTTATGCTACTCGGTTAGCTACTGAGAGATTCAATTTGGGAGACGATGTTAGGATGTACGGCGAGAGTTCATTCTCCCTGTTAATGCGGAGCGCCGGGAGATGGCGGGGAATGTGGTGCTGAGTTTTCTACTCTGGCAGCGGCGTTTCGGTTGAAGGAGCCGTTGCCTCCGTATTTGCCGTCGCCGGATGCGGCGAGGGGGCGATTTGTATGTCTTTCTTTCTTTTGAAATACCTCTCGAAATGAGTGGCTGATATTTCACGTAGATCGAGGCTATCCAGCAACAATTTCAAACTTTTCGCACCACTCATGGATGGACGCAACCGTGGAGTTGGGACAAGAATCAGGTGCCGGCCGACAAAGAAGAATTTGAAGAAGAATGCGGAGATATTGTTCTTTGCCTGTGCGCTTTTGATGCGTGGGTTGACGGGGGAGGTGGAGGGGTTGGGGAGGGTTGTGCAGGAGGTGTTTGGGGTTGTGCAGGAGGTGTTTGGGGTTGTGGGTGGGGCAAGGGAGGGGTTTGCGGTTGGTTGTTGGTTGAAGGTGGTGCGTACTGTTGGTTGTGTTGAGTTTTCTGGTGCGTTTATGAGATACGTGGGTGTTCACTACTTATTGATATTCAGAGCTATATATTTTACATAAATTGTAGGGCCCCGGGTGTGGTCACTGTGGTGTTGTCTGGGTTGGACTGCAATTGGACTATATTGAATTTATTACAGAGCGAGAGCACACACAATGGTTTATTGAGAGTGTTCATGAAAAGTGCTTGAATTCACGACTGGGAGGTTTTTCCTTGTCCATTGTTATCTTGTCAAGAACATGGATCGCCTGCTACGCAACGCTTCAATGGTCCCAGCATCCTGAATTCGTAATAACCTTGCTGCATTAATGGGGTAGTGGTAACCTGGGTCGTTGCCATCTCGATGGAATTGTATCGACCCGCCGGGGGTTCGATTCCCCCTTAATGCACTCCCAGAACTCATTTGTTTTTTTCTTCTCAGAGTTCCAATCCACCAGATCGGAGATCTTTGGACAAACGGCCTTAAGAAGGAGCGGTTTGAATTGGATTTTAACGCAGAGTGAACACGTTGGGATCCAATGTCTAATGGTTGGACTGACCAAAAGGGAGAGTTTACATACGGAGAAACGCCGCGCGATGGGTATGTGCGATCACGCTACCGGGTGAGACGCGTCGCGTTTGTGCGAATCGCAAGCGTGTAGAGGAGTAAAAATTGGCTAAGCTTGTCAATGAGTAGCTACTGTACTTAGCGAGGGCACCGAGCTGGTATATATAAGTAGAGCGTCTGTCTACGAGAGACCAAGTACTATGTTATGTATACTGTACTGTACTTCTAGTCCGATCTTGCACTGACTTCCCACTCGATAACTCGTTACTGTACTTCATGAGACTTCATGCATCATGGCACGCAGCCAGAGCGTGGGAATGGTGACGCGTTTGCCGGTCCGAACATTTGTTGATGCTTTTATCTAGTGTCTTCGTCCGAGTCGTTGTCGCTCTTCTTCAATCCGTCGCCGTCGCCGCCAGCCAGTCACCAAGGAAGTGTTACTTACAAGAGACACAATAACAAGAAAAGCAAGAAGATCTAGGCTGCATATAACAAGAACTTGAAGAAGCAAAGGGATACTTATAACAAGACTGACTCGAGGACCAGGTTTCTCAGCCTCACCGTTTCTGCGTGGCGCACAACTCAGTCACTGACATTGACTTGGGACCGCATGCCGTCCCGAACAAAGTCACCTTCCGCGTCAACAATGCATACAGTGCAGCAAAATAGGGAACCCGAACAGCAGCAGCACGAATCCACAAGTCCGAAGCGCCGCAGTGCACGTTTTGGGACCGTGTCGACACCGCGTGCTTCCTCCTCCTCGTCTTCGAGCGCAACTCCACCGACGCCGGCAACTCCGACTCCGACACCGCTGTCGGTGACGTCGACGCCGACGTTTGAACGCATACTGCGCCCGCCGAGTGCGCGGAAGCTTTCTGCCACGGCCAAGGAGGCTTCGTCGTCGTCGGTCGCCGTTGGTGCCGCACAGAGAGAGAGGAAAAGGAAGAGTCCGGAAGTTGTCGACGTGTCGGGGATGACGGTGAAGGTGCTGGGAGAGCGGGGATGCGTGTGGTCAATAATAAGAGGCAGAGGGTGAGATGTCCTGCCGAGGTATGTCTTGCTCTTCTCCTTCTGTCTTGTCTTGTTTCTTGCTTTTCTACGTGCTGGCTCTGGGTTCCGGATTCCTGGCGTTTTGGGGTTGTTCTCTGGCTCCTTTTATGTTTTTGTGTTTCTTCTTGCTGGGATTGCCTTTTTTGGGGTGTCTGAGAGGAGGGGTTTTGAGCGAATTGTCAATTGGTGTGGAAGGGAAGGGGAGGCAATGCGATGGATGGATAGGGAAGAGCCGAGGATATGGGTGTGATTAGGTTGGGTCGCTGAGCGTACGCGTGTGCATGTCCTGCGCAAACTTTCTCCAGTGCAATAGCGATGGGACCTTGGTGGCGTTGTCACTCTGATGAGCGGCTATCGTCCTTCGCAGTCTTGTCTGGTGCCGTCACCGAACCTCACTGCTCCCCATGCAAATATGTTTTTGGTATTAGGAGTTTCGAAGTCGGATCTTCCTGGTGCGGCGACAGTAAATCCCCGCTTGTGTACTATGCAGAATTCATGGAATTTTGATGCGTCTTCAGGACATGCTCCGACGTTGCTTTCACGTTGATAGTGGATGGCCCTTCGTCACAATTGGAATCGAGTCGCATTGCCATAATCACAAACGTTTGCCCAAGTTCCAAAGTTATTCTGGTTTCGATTTGATGCATTGTTTTATTCATGGTTCGACAAACCGTGTTCAGTGCACCGCTTTGGTCCGGTGGGCAAGGAATGAGATCTAGAGTGAGGCGGTAAATGAATTCCGGTATTCCTTGAAAATTGGGGCTTACATGATATTGCAGTATGCTTTTGGAAGGCCCTACCTTCAAATGGCTTGACCTCGAACGGTTGAACTCGATCATGAATGCAGTCCGAGCCGAGAACGAATACTTTTTTGTTTTGATATGCTATCTCTGTATGCTCACCGTCGGTCAGTTACATTGTTTGCACCCTAGAATTGATTCCATATTTAACTAGTGTCAATGCACAGTATGGCGGCTGGCGCCAACCAATTCTTCTTGGAATGAATGAGATGTCTTCATCCGGTGAAACTGCGTGTCCACCTGACATTCCATCCTTCATCTAGGTATTTTTTAGCAGTTAATTCGACAGCACTTCATCCTCGTGTGAGACCGAAGGTGTACAATGCTTCGGCTCCCCACTGCTATATATCTCATAGCCTTCAGCACGGCTTTACTTGTTTTGATTCCCACTTCATACTCACCCCATGGTTTACTTCGGCGGTATGTGGTCGGGACCTTCTACCAAGCAGACAATTACTTGCTAACCTCAACCGTTCAGGTGGAATAGGAGGTGCCGGCGGAGAGGGTGGTAAGGTGGGTGGTCAGGGCGGTGAGGGCGGTGGGACGGATTTCAGATATCTGGCCGACTTGGAGTCTGACGGCAAGTAGTGTTTCAATTATGATGTGCAAGATTAAGCTTTTCCAAGATATCCCCAGCAGCAAAGGGAAGGACCGCCGTGCTTTCATCAGCGCAGACGGTTAGTTTCTCATCCTGTCCGCTTGCCATTCATACCGTACTTACAAACAAACATTATGTAGGCGGCAGAGGAGGCGCAGGTGGGAAGGGGGGACTTAAGGCCGGAGACGGTGGTCTAGGCCAGGGTGTTTCCATCCCCAAGTTCAAACCAGAGGTTTTGGATGCAGTGTTCGACAAAGTCTTGGGCAAGCATTCGTTTCCCGATCGTTTACACGGAGCGCTGCTCATCCTGAATTTGCAGGAGGTGTTGGTGGCGATGGCGGTAAGACAACGCTGGACGGTCAGGCTGGACGCGGGGGGTATGGGCAGCCTACCCAATTCTCCGGTGATGTTCCTATTCCCAGTGGCCGAGCGGCATCAGAAATTTCATTCGACGAGTTACGACTCGGACCGGTGGGAGCCCTTACCGAAATCCTGCTGAGGCTAGGAGTCGGGGTAGTTAAGGCTCTTCTCGACCGGGTGAAGAACCTCATACCGTCTCTTCTCGAGGGTGACGTTCAGGGAGCGGAGAGACTAGTTGCAGGTGGGTACCTCCTCAATATTCTCGATGAGTTCTATCATTCATCCCAAGGTAACAGTGAATGCTACAATGCCGGATCATGCCTGTGAATCAAGCGGTGGTGAAGGTGAAAGAATGGCTATAGCAAAAGTCTGAATGGCCGTGAGGTTCCCGAAGGTGAGGAAACAGGACTACGACTCGTGCGTTTCGATTCTATTGACCAGTTCCGTAGCGCCGGTTGCTATTATCTAGAGACTCTGTTGGCAGTAACGTTGCACTGCCTCGACCCTTCCTCGCCTGCCCGTCTATATCTCAGTTTTATTCCTTCCTTGGAGGATTTATTTGGATTCTTCAGTCGATTTGTATCTGTTTCTAGTTCTAATAGGGCGTTTCGCGACGCCTTTTTTGACCTCTTTTCGGCGTTTTTTGTCATCCCGAAAAAAAGACCTCATAAAAAGGCTCATGACCATTTTATTCACCTTTTTTCCGATCCTTTTTAAAGGTTTCCGTTCCAGAAAAAACCGAAAGAGGGATCGAAAAAAAACGTGAACAACGCTCAAAAAAGTCGTTATTGATTTCATGTCCAGCACTATCTGAGGTACACCAGTGGTACACCTTTGGGACTGGTCACTGGTGCTCGCACCGCTATCAGTAGTAAGTAATTTCGAACACCACTGCGGCCCGGGTGTGAGAAGGCACCAGCTGATCGGGTGATCCCTTGATGATTTTTCGATTTCTGCCGAACAAGGCGGCACGCCAAACCCCATTCCGCGCAGCCGACTTTAAGGTCCACCCAGATGACTCTGCTACCCAACCTATAGTACACCAAAAGCAACAGCAGCATCCTTGTATTCACGCTCCCATTTGGCTCCCATCCACTGGCTTCCAGCTGCTTCATTTGCCTGACAATCGCGCTCCCGCGGATGCCGCTTTTTTTCGCGCACGACACGAGGTCTTCACGTTGTATCGTCGTCGGCGACGAGACTACAGTATTGGCATGCGCGTGGTTCCCATTCTTCGTGTTCAACCGATTTTGGCTGACCCGATGACTTGAATCGGTAGTTCATTGCATTTCGGCGCCGCATGTTTGCCGCATGTCTCCTGAAATAGAGTCTAGAGAGAATAGGACGGGGCATCACTGCCAGTGCCGCCCACCGCCACGTCCGCTTTTCATCGAACATGAAGAATGACCTTGATCAAGTTAACTTATCGGCTTATACTGTAGTATTTCGTTCAATTAGTAGTGTCACTTGTCACAGACCCAAAATCCTACGAAAATTTTCGTAAGTCACAGGGTCACAAAGGGGTCCTACTAAAGGTTCCTTCTTGTCTCACACGTTTTGACGCGTTTTTGGGCCAAAAAAGGGGGGTAAAATACGAAAATTTTCGTAAGTCACACCCGTCTTACCAAATTAAAGGTCAAGTTGGTAAGAGGTGTCACACCCTAAATGGCCTTACTAATTGAACGAAATACTACAGTACACTTTCAATTTTGCGGAATACCAGGCCGAGACACGACACTGGGATGCAAAATCCCTTGCCCACCCCTTCGACTCCACCTGCTCCTGGACCCACTTCCTTGAATAATCGCGGACATATTTTCATTTGGCTGCGGGTGTGGACTTCGATTCACGAGCAGGTATGAGCGATAGAAAACCGAGCAACTGGCAGCGTACGCCATCCCGTCGTCCATGCATCGCCATAGACTCAGAATGAAGCTGTGCGCGCCTACTTTCTTCACCTGTGCAGCATGCATGGTCGCATCGGCGGGCAGCTTACCGTCCTACGCGGTGCGCCTCGCAAATGCCTCGTGTTGA